CCAGGGGCAGTCCTTCTTTTAAGTTCCATGCAGCTAAGGTGGGTAACTCACTTGGTCTGTTGTGGTAAGCAAGGTCTCTCAGGCCTGCTCAAGGCCGGGGGAAGAGCACAAAGGCTGAGCTGGGAGTTTGAGGCTAGCATGGGCTACACAGCAAGACCTTGACTCAAATATACAAAAACCACTAAAGGGACCCATCTGAATTCACCAAGGGCAAGAGAGGGCAGGAACCAGAGTTAGGGTAGAGTGGACTCAAGGGTGGACTCAAGTCAGGATCTAACTGTAGCCTGTCATTTCACACAGAGTAGCCATGGAAGCCATAGGATGGCATCCTCCAGTAGCAGATTCCTGGGCACAGGAGAAGGGACAGGGCTAATATGGAGGGAGCAGGAAGGGGAGGGAACTTATCTACCATGTGGAGGCTGAGACTGGAGAGCCACTGATCTGTGAGACTGAAGGGTGTGAGCTATTTGGAAGCCCAGGATGGTCCCAGGAGACAAGCAGAGGCCATCGATTCACGCTGGGACAAGGGGAACAAGGTAGGAGTCCCCTGAGTGTTCCTTCAGAGACTCCCAGTTTCTGAGTACAATGGCACCTACAAAACAGTGGGGTGAAAGCCTGTATTCAGCCTTCCTGTGTACACACGCACACACATGCACAAGCATGCTTGTGTGTCCTGCAGTCTAGGCAGCTGTAGCACAGTGGACAGTGGTATAGGTTGTACACGGCACATTCCCAGGGGCAGCCATGTGCTCCTCCACACGTGTCCCATGACTCATACCTGGCTACCTCTCCAGGCTCAGCCTACCTCCTTCACAGGTATGCCTGCCGGTTCTCCCAAACCTTAGAACTCGGCCACCCAAGACATATAAATCCTGCAGGAATGGCATAGTGAACAAAACATTTGTGTGCACAGGGAGGGCTCACACTTTTATCTCTTTTTAAAAAGTGTCTGTGTGCTTTCCCTGAGTGCACAGATGTGTAGCTTGTGCATGTAGTGTTGTGTAGTGGTTTCCTCCCGCCCTGCGGGCATGCTCCTTAAGACAGAAGGTGAACGACTCAGTGTAGCTTCCTGAAGTCCCTGAAACTGACCAGACTCACTAGGCCACCCCCTCCATCATTCTGAGACAAGCCAAACTGCAAAGAAGACTCACAGACTAGCTGACTTGAAGTGGTGTAGACCAGCTGAGTCACTTGGAAAGGACACTCTTCAGCCTGTTGAGCCACCTGCAGGCTGTGCGACCCTCGTGGTCCATCCCCCATGCTGCGATGGGCTTTGGTGAAGCAGCTGTCTTTGAGTCATTTCTGCTCCTCTAACCCCTCGTCCATATTTCTGTAACTAACCCGAATAAAGCTCATGGGGACACCAAGTTGGACTTTGGTGGTGTCCATACTTTGGTCTGTGGTGGGCTCCCTATCAGAGGTAAGTAGACATGTGTGTCTCTCCAGGCAGTCATGTCACATGACAAGTGCACACTGAAGTCCGAAGAGGACATTGGCTCCCTCGGGACTGGGATACAGTTACAGATAGTAGTGAGCCTCCATGTGGGTGCCGGGAATCAAACCCAAGTCCTCTGGAAGAGTAGCCGGTGCTCTTAACCGCTCACTGAGCCATCTCTCCAGCCCCTGCTATTTCACATACTTAAAAAAGTCAAGTCCCCCGGAACTGGAGTTACAGACAATTGTGAATCACCGTGCAGATGCTACATAACCTGGGTCCGCTGCAGGAACGGAAATTAATCAGTCTTCTGTACTTTGTCTCTGTCTCTCTAGTCTCTGTAGCCCTACCTACTCTCTGTATTTCTTTCTCTCCTGTGTGTCTGTTTCTCAGTCACCCTGTGTCTCTCTGTCTCTATCTCTCTCTGTCTCTGTCCCTCTGTGTCTCTGCCACTCTTGGATTGTAATTAGCAAATGTCCTAAAGGGTCCAGACACCCTACCATCCCCCAACGAGACCAACGAGAGCAGGAAAGACTCAATTGTAAGCACAGGACCCTGCAATCATTGAGTGCCTACTGTGTGCATATTCCCTGAGGGGAGAAAGCTATGCTTTCCTTTGCAGTAAGAGACACTGAGGCTGAAGGTAGTTGGGAAGGCAGTAGGTTTGATACCCATTTTCCTGGGCTCCCAGGGCAGGTCAATAGCTTTGTTACCCCCAGACAATGGCTGTCACTAACGAAAGCTGACTTAGTGAAAGCTGGGGCTAGGTACCACCAGGGCAGAGGTGACAGGATGGGAAAAGGTTTCTCAGACTGGGGCCAGCAATTACTCAGATAGCGGAGGCTTCCAGTTGGATGGGGAGCACCAGCTGTAGAGGGAGAATGAGGGCTGGAAGGGAGGCAGGAGGCACTGAGAAGAGCACAGAAATGATGTCAGTGGCTCCGGAGCTGCTCATTGGGCTCCTGGAGTCAGCTGGGGAACCAAGGCCCAGAGGGAACATGGCAGGGTGTGGCCTGCAGAGTCATGATAAGCAGGGCTGGCAGGTTCTGGTGAGCTATTGATAAGGTTCCTGGACTTTATTCAGAGGACAGTTGGCAAGAGGGGCTTTTGGAACACTTAAGGGGGTCTGCAAGGCGGACTAGGGTGGACTGAAGGAGGACATGGGAAGGCTCACAGTGGTGGGCAGACTGGGGTGCTCTGGTTTGGAGGACTCTAGAAAGGCAGACTCTATGAGGTGCTGGTGGTGACATCATTGGTGGCCCCAGGGGACTGTCAGGAAAACTGTCCTCCAGTTCCTGTGGTGGCAGGAGCTGGGGGTGGGGAGTGTGAAGAAGCTGGTCACATGGTGAGCCTTGAGATGAGATTAGAACTCAGACCCTGGCATGGCCCTCCCTGCGTTTGCTCACCGTTTCTCCCCATGTCTAGGCAGTTACCTTCCTTACCAGCTTTTCCAGTTCTTGTAACTGCTGCCCTGAGGGTCAGGAAAACCTGGTTCCCGGACCAGGCTCTAGCTGAATGGGGTGTGATACTGCACTTTGTCCCCCTGACGAGAACCCTCAGGCAGGTCAGCTGCTTCCACTGGGCAAGGGTTGGGGCTATAATCCCAGGCCACAGGCTTATGTGTTCTTCCTGATGAGGAGCTGGCTGCCCACCTGCTGGCCCCATACCTGCTGTCTTTCCCCAGGTGCCTCCTTGATGCCAGCCTACAGCTTGGGCATGGAAAACCTGTTTTCACTCCTGGTAGAGGGTGTAGAGACACCACCTGGCTCCAAGCCAGATGCCAGTTTTGGGAAAACACCTACCTCCCTAAAGATTCTGCCTAGACAGGCCCCGGGGCCCAGCTGGGAAGAGCCAGTTCACACTGTTGGTGTCATAGTCCATCTGATGACATACAGATTCCTGAGGGGAGAGAACAAAGCTGAGTAGAAGTGGCACGAGGCTTTAATTCCAGCAAATTAAATTGAGGAAGAGGCAGGTAGATGTCTGTGAGTTTGAGGCCAGCCTGGTCTACAGAGTGAGTTCCAGGATAGCCAGGGCTACACATAGAAACCCTGTCTCAGAAACAAAATAAAACAACATTCAGGGCAGCCCCTGGCTCTGAGGACCCAGAGGAGGTGCTTTCCTTAATCACCCCTGGCCTCCTCGGAGGCTTGAAGAGGGCCAAGAGTCTCCAGTCTCCACAGAGATGTCCAGAGAGTCCCCCTGGCCCCCAAACTCCATTTCCTCCTCTGTGAATGCAGAGGAATTATTCTGGTCGGCTTGGCACCCCTGAGGGTGAAGGGAAACCAGACAGTATTTTAAAGTTTGAGACAGGGTCATCCACCTCCATATATATCCAGGGGATGAGTTTGGATTTCTGATCTTCCGGCTTCTCCCCGCTGAGTGCTGGGATTCCAGGTGTGTGCCATCATGCACAGTACCTGTGTGATGGGAAAGCACTCTAGCCACCCTGCAAGCTCCACCCCAGCCTCAAACCAGACAGCTTTGTAGACTCTGAAACTGGGGGATACTCCTTCTCAGAGGCTGCATTTATCCTAGTCTCTGCTTTTCCATTTGTCAACAGGCTGCCAACTTTAGAGGCTGAGGCAGGAGAATGGCAGCTCAACAGATAACTGAAGACCAACCGAGGCAGCTTGGACTCACCTTTTTTTTAAAAAAACAAACAAACAAAACAAAACAAAACAAAAAACAAAACAAAAACAAAAGGAAAGCTGTGGTGGGTTTGGGCTAGAGAGATGGCTCAGTGGTTAAGAGCATTTGCGGCTCTTCCAGAGGTCCTGAGCTCAATTCCCAGCAACCACAAGGCAACACAGCCTGCTCCAACTCCAGTTCTAGAGGAGCAGGGGCCTTCCTCGGGTCTCCTGGGATACCAGGCACACAAGTGGAGCACAGATACACGTTCAGGCAAAAGCCCATGCACACAAGATTGAATTAAAAGTAAGAAAGAAAACCGTAGCTGGGGGTGTAGCTCGGCTGGTGGCATGCTTGTCCGGCATGCAGGAAGCCCCAGGTTCCATACCCAGCACTACATAAACCAGGCATGGTGTGGTGCACAAGCCTCTAATCTGAACGCTGAAGGAGGTGGAGGCTGTGGAATCAGAAGCACAAGGTCATCTTTGCTTATGTAATAAGCTAGAGGCCAGTGTGGGATACAGAGGTCCCGGTCTTAAGGAAAACAAAAAAAGAAAACCCCGACGCCTTCTGCTGGGAGTCATGGCTGAAAGCCAGCCAAGGCGGGAGCCGACGCCCAGAGTATTCTCCAAGACCCAGGAAAGAGGGGGCGTGGTCGTATGTGGGCGTGTCTTTGTGGGGCGTGGGTGTGGCCTGACTAAACAGGGGCGGAGCGGCCGGAACGAGGAGTCTGTGTGGAGCTTGGAGCTGGCGGGCCCCGCCTCCAGAGGGCGTGATCTTATGGGGGCGGGTCTGAGGGGGCGGGCCCTCCAGGGGGCGGGGCCGGCGGCCTCACAGGCGGCTTCAGTGTGGGGCGCCGGTCTCCCGGCGCTCTCTTCTTCCAGCCCGGCTGGTGGTCGGCAGGTCCGGGCCTCCTCCGCGTCTCCGGCCCAAGCGGGGCCTGTGGCCAGCTCCTCGAGCCGCCAGCCCATCCTGCCGCCCGCATGGCCGCCATCAAGGCCCTGCAAGAATGGTGCCGGCAGAAGTGCGAGGGCTACCGGGACGTGAGCATCACCAACATGACCACCTCGTTCCGCGATGGCCTGGCCTTCTGCGCTATCTTGCACCGACACCGGCCTGACCTTATGTGAGTGCTCTTTGAGCCCTCTGTCGGGCTCTGATGTGCTGCTGCAAACGGGAAACTGAGGCCACGCCTTCCTTGGGATCCGGGTCAGAGGTTTCAGACACACCCCTCTCAGATGGGCCACCCAAGGGCAGGGCAGAGACCTGCAGGTACAGCCTACTTGGTGGTCTCCAAGGCTGTAGCAGGCAAGTAGCCTCTGTGCAGGCACCAAGTGCAGCTGGGCCAGGGGCCAGGACGTGGGCTGTCCGGCGGCTTAGTCAGTGGTGACTCAGGGCAGCGTTCGCCTTCCCCAGCTCCCTGAGAAAGGGCGAAGGAGCAACTCCTGGAGGTCTGAGATCTGGCCCCAAGATCAGGGCCACTTGAGCCTTTTAGTGGGATCACTGCCCCTCCCGTAACTTGTTCAGGCACCTTTGGGAATCAAAGAGGGAAGTCTAAGCCTTTTAGCACCTTAGAGTGACAGGGGACAATGGAGACTGGACCACCATCCTTGGAAGTTGTAGAAGAGGACAGAGATGGGTTGTAAAGCCTTCTCTAACAGTCTTGGCATAAGAACTTGGGAAGCAAGCTAGCCCTGTCTTGTTGAACTCCCTTGGCCCACAACTGAATCTGTTCTATCAGTTATTCACTTAGCAAACACATAGGCAGACTCTGTTATAGGGACCTAAGTTAGGCTGGTGGCCAGAGTCCTGGAATGGGACAAGATCATCTACAGCCCATGCTCTCCGGAGAAAAGCATTCTCCTGTACATGGTAGCTAAAGCCAGAGTTGATTGTTCTGGGGGAGTTTTCCAGGGAGGTCTTGAGGCTGAGTAAGGCTCCAGGCAGCACCCGTGGAGCCCACCTCAGTCAAGCTGCTTGCTGTGCAGATGGGGAAACTGAGGCTCGGGAAAGGAAAAACAAACAAATATTGTTCAGGTTACACAGCATGTCAGGCAGAGCTAGGCCTGGTCCTATCAGACTCCCTTGTGCCAAGCTTTGCTCAGGAAGTGGGAATCTTGGGCAAGAAGTAGTCTTTTGCCCTGAGGTTATGAAATAAACCCCCCAGAGCTGCTTGAGAGGGCCCCATGGCATGGGAGCGCCTCAGAGACTCTCAGGGAGGTGGATGGTGTGCTCTCAATGGGGCATCAGTCATATGGAAACGGGGAAGCTGAGCTTTGATGGCTGCTGGGCCAGGGCTGTGGACCTTTGAGAATGGACTTGGAATGCAAACGTGGGTCATCAGGTTTCTCCCGGTGGTGCAGGGGGAGGCCGCATGATCCAGGGAGCTTAGATGAGAACTATGTGACGAGTTCTCAAGCGGAGGACATGATGATCTTGGGTTTTGGCTGGCCTAGCAGCCTCAGCTGGTAACTGGACAGGGACAGGGCCTTTGCAGATACAGGGTTTCCCTTGCTCCGAGGCAGGGGTTGTGTTTGCTTGTGTCCTGACACATAGTTCCCACGGGGGAGGAGAGGTGTACACAAAGAGGTGTATGTTTATTTATGCTTGTGTGTATATTTGTGTGTCTGCTGGCACCAGCAAGTGTTAAAGATTTGCGCATTTATCTAGTGAGAGCCTACTGTATACAGTGTAAGATCATCGCAGCCCCCAAAGTTCAGGGAGCAACTTCCTGGTCTCAGAGACAGAAGTTCAAGGTGAAGACAGGGAACCAAGAGTCTGTGACAGGAAGGAAGCTGGAAGAAGAGATGCCTGTTCAGTTCCACTCTGGCAGGGTTATCTATCTCACACTGCTGACTTCCTTGCTGTCTCACCCAGCTGGACTGATAGCTCTAGTCTCTTAGTTAATGCTCTATGGAAACCTGGAGGTGCTACTATGTAGCAGGAGCCCTGCAGATAAGGGCATGCTGTCTGGGCAAGGTAGACGTGGTAGAAGTTTGGTAGGAGCTTGTGTGCTTTCGAAGGAGTTTGAAGGTGACAGAAGTAGGAAGTCCAGAGGTGGAGGCGTGAACCAAGGGACACCCTGGAGCTCTCAGCAGCCGGGAGAGATAAGGACCCCCTCCCCTGTAGCAAGTATGACCCTGCTACACTTTGACACTGGATACCTGGCCTTTGGGAATCTGAGGACAGGTATCCCTGGGTGTGGACGTGTGTGATAGCAGTGGTGGGAAAGGAGTGGGGGTTTCGGCAGGAATCTCAGTTATTGGTGAGATTTTAGAGCAGTGGTTCTCAACCTGTGGGCTGCAATCCTTTTAGGGGTGGGGTGTCAAATGACCCTTTCACAGGGGTGGCCTGAGACCATTGGAAAACACAGATACGATTTAGTAACAGTAGCAACATTGTAGTTATGAAGTAGCAACAAAATAATTCTTTGGGAGTTACTACAACAGGAAGTGTCAAAGGGCCACAGTGATAGGAAGGTTGGAAACTACTGGTGTCAAGCGTGGCTGAGTACAGGAGGTGGGGCTTAGACCATGTGAATCCAAGCATTGAAAGCCCCCAATGTGGGCTGGTGAGATGGCTCAATGGGTAAAGGGGCTTGCCACCAAATCTGATGACCTGCCTTAGATCTGCAGGACTCACCCACATGATGGGAGGAGAGAGATTGACTCCCCAAAGTTGGGATTTTACCTGCACATGTGCACAATGTTTTATGTGTCTCCTCCACATGTGTGTGTGTGTGTGTGTGTGTGTGTGTGTGTGTGTGTGTATTTAAAATCTCACAGCCCTGTGTCCTGCCTGCCATCCTTTGGCCCAGGTGGCGGGTGGGGGGTGGGAGAGGGGGATGTCTCATTGCAAAGTTGCGTAACTACCAGGAGGAGTGGAAAACTGTGATGGACCATAGGTAGAGAGGGGCTGTCCTCTCTGAGGAGCCCCTCGATCAGATCTTGGCAGGGTTGGGGGGCAGGTCCTGGCACCCCAGCACTCTAGTCCGCTTCTCCTGAAGACCCTCTGGCAGCAGGAAAGTGGACATCCTGTCTCCTTGTCCTTAGCTTTGCCACCAGGAAGTCCTTTCCTTTGTCTGACCTCAGAGGTTCCTCCTGCCTGCTGAGTGTGCTTCCTGTGGCCCTTGGTGGAGCACAGCTGTGAGGGAGCCAGCCTGGGCATGGAGCCAGCCAGGTGGGGCCAGGCTGCAGGCTGTGAGTTCACGTGTGCTGTCTCTGTCCCTCCCACATCGCTAGGCCCATGGGTCTGAGGAAATAGGTTTACCAGTGACACCACCTGGGCCAGCTCCCTGCCTCATGGGTTTTCCACAGTTTAAGTAGGTGTCTGCCCACAAGGACCATTTCCTCAATGAAGCCACCCTACAGCTGCCAGGCAAGAGCTGGGGAGCCACCCAGCCCAGCCCAGCCCAGCTCAGCCCAGCCTAGCCCAGCCCCAAGTAGGGAGACACCGTGTGGCTGGCTTCCTTTGGGCCCATGGAGGCTTTAGTTGGGCCATGGGTCAGAGGCATAGAATCCTACAGCTCTGAGCCAAGAGGTGGGGGAGGTTGCTTCAGGGAAGCCCCCACCTCTGGAAGGAGACCCTTATGGGACCCTGAGCTTGAACTTGGGTTGTCAGTGACTTTGCCAACCTGTTGTTCTCTCTCTCCATCTTCTTGTTGTTTCAGACAGGATTTCTCTGTGTATCTCTGGCTGTCCAGTAACTCTCTCTGTAAACCAGCTAGCCTCAGACTTAGAAATCTGTCTGCCTGTGCCTCCCAAGTACTGGGATTAAAGGCATATGCCACACCATGCCTGGCATCTCTTGTTTTTTTTTTTGTTGTTTGTTTGTTTGTTTGTTTGAGACACAGTCTCATTACATGTCCTGGAAGGCCAGGAAGGCCAGGAACTCACTATGTAGATCAGGCTGGCCTTAAACTCCTGCTTTTGTCTCCTCGGGCTGGGATTGAGGTGTGAATTACCATATCTGGCATCTTTTTCTTTTGTTGAACTTGTCTCGTCTAGTCTAGGCTGGCCTTGAACTTTCTAAGTTGCCAAAAAATGACCTTGAACTCCTGATCCTCCTGTCTTGTCTCCTGAGTGGTGGACCGTTATGCACAATGTATGCAGTTCCAAGGATGGATGGAACCCAAGGCCTCATGTATTCTGCACCAAACCCCAAGTCCCAATGTTGGGGTTGTTTATGTGGAGATAGGATCCAGGCTGGTCTAGAACTCACTGCATAGCCTAGAGTGTATTAAACTTGGGACAATCCTCCTGCCTTATGCAATGAGTGCCTGGGGTTATAGGTATACACCACCACACCTGCTGCAAAACCAGAGTCCTGTGGACCCTTCTGGCTCTTGGCCATTGGTGGGGTGACCTGAAGGTCCCCAAGTTCCTTGCAGCCACTGCTAGAAGCAGCAGGTGGCTAAGGTAGCCTTTGTAGGGATGGATGCCTTGGGTAGGTGCCTCTGACTCCGTCCAGACTGTAGACTCTCCTGGTCAGGGGTTTCATGGGGTGTGCTCTATCCTGAGGCTCCCCTGGCCAGGGCTGAGAGGAGACAGGCAAGGCCAGCTGACCTTCCCTCCCACACGGGCTTTGGCCAGCAGGGAGCTGCTTGGGCACAGAGGCCTTCTGTTCTCCAGCCTGAGGCCGGCTGCCCAGACCCCTGCCCCTGCCTCCTGGCTAAAACTGTCCAGGACAATGGGAGGGGACTACTACCTCCCTCCCAGGAGACAACCCAGCCTGGTGCTGGCCTTCCAGAGGCCTTCTTCCCTGTGCCTGTTCCCCAGGTCTCCCGGTCATCAGGCTTGCTCCTCTTGGGCTCACATTTACCCTGAGCCCTTCTCTCCACTGCAGGCCTCTCTCTAAGCTGTCTCGCCTCCCTGCCTCTTGCCAGTGGGATTAGCTCCAGATGTGTTGGATTCGCCTAGAGATAGAACCGAGCTGGGAATTCCCCTCCCAGCCTGGTGCCTACCCCTGCATAGCTGAGTTTTCCTCCAGGAAATAAATGAACGTGAAGTTAGCTATGTGGGAATTTAGAAAGGGCAGGGGTTGGGCAGGGACAATTCCCAACAAATCCTCTGAGGTCCTTGGGGGAGGGGGTCTGGAGGCTGGCTTCCTCCACAGCCAAAGCTCACA